CACCCCCTCCCCACCTCCATGCCCGTGTACCCGCCTCCCCTCAGCCGGATCACTGCAGGAGTCCAGCACCAAGAGGGAGAATGGCGGGCACCTGTCCGTCCTCTGTCTACGAAGCCTGCGCCAGGCCCGGCCAGGCTGAAGCCAGGACTTCCACCCAGGTCTCCCACAGGGACTTGGGCCGTCACCTCCAGCCGGGCACCTGAAGACCAGGCCCTCCAATGGAGTTGCAGGCACGGCCAGCCAAGGCTTAATCTCGGAGATTTCTCAAGCCAGTGGGGAAGCAATGGACAAGCTGGGTTCTTGTGGATGGAAACATGCATGTCCTATAGAATATCACCCAAACAGGAAGGAGGCGGGAGTCCTTTGCAAAACACAGCCTAGCAAGCGACCGAGGACCGAGCAGGCCCTGACCACACTCCACTCCGCCTACCGTGGCAGAGAGACCAGCCCACTAAGTCTCCACTTCACAGCCACTCGGACCCCACGCCCGCCTATCAGGAAGCCAGATAACAGCCAGTGTCGGCTGCCAGGACGCGGAGAGCAGCAGCCAGCCAACAGCAGCCGGGCAGCTGGCCCGACCTTCACCTGAGGGATTGCCACAGAACCCGCCATCCAGGGAGGACACGGGAGCCTCACCACAGCCATCCCAGGCCCTTCCACAGATGCAAACCCGGCGGCCGGTGCCTCACGCCCACTGCATCAAAGTCCTCGGACTGAGAGAGGATCCTGGTCCGCCTGGCCCCTTGGCCCCCAATGCATCAATTCAGCAACTTACAGGGACCCTCACATGGCACACTGCCCTGGAACTGCCACATTCTGAGAGACGACCTCAGCAGTCACCAGGGGAGACAACAGTGGGACAGCTGAGACACCCCCATCCCCCGGCGCGTGGGGCAGCTGAGACGCCCCCGTCCCCGGCGCGTGGGGCAGCTGAGACTCCCGGTCCCCCAGTGTCCCCCGGCGCGTGGGTTCAGGCCCGGCTGCATCTCCCATCACCACCTGCTGACAGTGTAGACCATGGGAAGCAGGGCTGTCTCCAGCAGCTGGGCCCTGCCACCCACACGAAGGCCTGGCCTACGTCCCGCGGCCAGCTCCCCCACACCAGGCCTTCTTGGGCATTCGGCGAGGGAGCCAGCAGGTGGCTCATTCTGTTTCCATTCCTTTTCCTTCTGCCTCTCAAATAAATAAATAAAATTCTAAGAGAATGAGGTCGGCCCGGTCCAGCCTGACGCAGGGAACCCACGGTCCAGCACCTCTGCAGCGAAGGCCACACGGGTCTTCTCATGCCTGCACAGGGGCCCTCTGACCAGGCGGACTAGGGTTCCGCTGTCACACTGATGGCCCCTAAGTCGGCACGTCTCGCCGCCCCGGGCCCTGGAGAGTCCACCCCTGCTGGCTGGGCCCAGGCCCCGAGGACAATGCCTGCACAGCCACACAAATGGCCTGCAAACACCAGCGGGTGCTGGGGCCAAGCCAGGGGCACAGCCAGATGCCAGAGCCATGAGCCCAGCGGGAGTCCAGCCAGGAGGGAGGGCCAGGGTGGACAACCGACCATGGGGCAGCACAATGGCTCAGAGCGGGTTCCAGGAGAGAGGTGAGGGCCCGCAGTCAGCTGGGGCCCCACACCAGGCCATTGCCCAGGCCCCGCAGCCCCAGCTGCCACCCTCCGCCACAGGTCTGAGTGAGCTGTGCCCCACGGCACCCACCCTGGAGCAAGGAGAACTGTCCTGGTGGTCAGCGTAGGTTCAGCCATTCTCTTCCCCCCGGGGGGAAACGGTGGTCTCCAGAATGGAGCCAGGAGTGATGGTGGGCAGGGCCCGGGAGGCTGTGAGGTGGGGTGAGGGCCAGCTGGCCCCAGAACCAGCCCCCTAACCCTGACCCTGACCGTAACCCCAACCCCTAACCCCTAACCCCCAGGCCCACAGGTGCCTTGCTGGAAGGGCAGTCCTTCTCCCCAGCCACGGCTCCACCAGCCCCTCCGGGCCCAGGCCAGGATGGGTGGGCTCCACCCCCCCAACAGCTCTAAGAGGCACACAGGCAGGGGGCGTGGGACCACCAGCCTCCTCCACCCGGGCTGGGGTTCCACCCACAGGGACCAGCTTAACCCCCTTGGCACACGAGTGGGGCTGAGCCCTGTGAGGAGGGCCATGGCTGCCTCACCTGGCCGGGTGGACCTTCCAGGGCTTTCCCAGGCCTCACCGGCCCAGCGAGGAGCAGGCTAGGACAGCCACGGGCCCTGGAAATCCACCCAGCCCAGGAGGCATAGCCAGCCGCCAGGGACTCTCCCTGAGCTGCCCTTGGGGGCAGAGCCAGCAAAACCAGCCGCCCAGAGCTGGAACCGCTCTGCTGGCCTCGGCCGGGCCCCACCTCGACCCTCCCCAGCCACTCACTCCCTGTTCTAAGCCTCTGCCGGCCGCCAGCCAAGGCCAGCATATGCCTGCTCATGCCGGCCGACCCAGCCCTGAGCCGGTGACAGTGGCCAGGCAGCCGGCAGCTGCAGGGGCTCCGGGAAGGCACCACGCAGAACTAGGGGTCCCTTGGGGACACCCCATGGTTCAAGAGGGGGGGAGGGGCTGGCAGGGGCTCTCTGACCTCCCCAGCTCAGGGTCAAAAAAGGGGTGTGCGAGGGTCCCTGCCAAGCACGAGTGGCAGTACTGTCGGCTCGCACCAGTTTGGGCAAGTGAGGAAAGGTGGCAAGTATGTGATCCGCTGCCAGGCGCCCCGCAGAGGGCCGGGGGCGGCCCAGCCCGGACCCACAGATCTGACGCAGGCCCCCGCGCTCCCCCCTCCGCCCACCTGCGCTGCAAGATGCCCAATTAAGGACATGGCCACGGGGGCTCAGCCGGCACGGCCAAGCCTTTCCTGGACGCCGGCGGCCGCGGGCCCAGCCACACCGGGATGGTGGGCAGGGCGGCCGGGCTTGGTCGGGGTCACGGTCGGGGCGGGTTCACGGGGTCGGGGTCGGGGGAGGCGGCGGACTCGCTCGGCCGGCCAGCAGGCTGGCCATACCTTTATACTTCTCCCGCACTTCCTCATAGGCCTGGATGAAGTCCTGCTCGTCCGGCGGCGTGTCTGGCGATGGCGCGGCCATGCCGGCGGCGCGGGACACGGGGCCGGGACCGGGACCGGGCGGTGTCGCGGCGCCGGGCGAGCCTCCAGCCCCCTGGTCACTCCGGCCCCGCGCGGCCGCGCCGCCGCTTAAAGAGGCCGCGCCGCCCCGCCCCGCACCCAGGATGCCCCACGGGCCGCGCGGAGGCGGAGCCCTGGCCAGCGGCCCTGCGCCCCGCGCTCCTGTCCCGGCCGCTCCTCACCTCCGGCCTCTGCGCCCCCCTGCGCCCCGCGCTCCTGGCCCGGCCGCTCCTCACCTCCGGCCTCTGCGCCCCCCTGCACCCCGCGCTCCTGGCCCGGCCGCTCCTCACCTCCGGCCTCTGCGCCCCCCTGCGCCCCGCGCTCCTGTCCCGGCCGCTCCTCACCTCCGGCCTCTGCGCCCCCCTGCGCCCCGCGCTCCTGGCCCGGCCGCGCCTCACCTCCGGCCTCTGCGCCCCCCTGCACCCCGCGTTCCTGGCCCGGCCGCTCCTCACCTCCCGCCCCCTTACACCCCGCGCTCCTGGCCCGGCGGCTCCTCACCTCCGGCACCTCACCCCAGCCTTCCAGTCCCGTCAGGGATCTGGCCCAGGAGCCGCGCCTGCCGAGGACCGGGCAGCTCCGGGCAGCCCCGCACACACGCCTCTGTCCCGCTACCCCCGGCTAGCGGGTGGGCGCGCAGGACCCTCCAGGAGAGCGGGCACGGGGGCGGGCGCCCAGAGCCAGCAGCATCTGTAACGGTAACACCCCCGGGAACAGAAGGGGCTGGATGCAGCCGTGACCGTCCACTCTGCCCGCCCCCCGCACATGGCCAGCCGCTCCCCCAAGGGCCACGCTGCACCGCCAGGCCCCTCCCCTGGGCCTCGGGCTGGGCCTTCCCTTCCCCTAGCCTCCACCCCTCGGACAGCTGAGCCACCAGAGCACCACCTCCGTCCGCTGCCCGGCAACCTGACCGCGGAGCGCGACGCGCTGGCCGGAGCTGGCCCCGCAGGAGCGGCAGGTGGCGCCAGAGAGGCGGCCTCCTCGGGTTCGAGGCCCGAGACCCCGGGCACGGCGCAGCAGCAGGTGGAGACGCATTACCTGCGATGCGGATGACCGCTCGCTCCGCGGGGTCCAGCACGCTCCCGTTGCCCCCGGGGCCGCCGCCGCTTCTCCGGCTCCGCTGCGTTTTCCCGAGGTTCCAGGGCAGCGTGTCCCCAGGGCTGGGCGAGCCGCTGCCGCCGCTGGAGCCATCGTCGGCCGCTGCCCGCCCCTCGGGGTCCTCGGCTGACATGCTTCCTGGCCGGGACAAGCAGGGGTCGTCACCCGGCCGGCTCTGCACGCCCTGCTCCACACGTGTCCTCTACGGGACGCTGCCCGCCAGTGCCCTCGCTCAGGCCCCACCAGGCTGTGCCCAGCCCTGGGCCGCTCACCCTGTCCCTCACCGCCCACCCCGCCCAAGGCTCCCGGCCGCTCTCGGGCGTGGGCGCCTGCCACCCTGTCCCTCACACTCTGCCCCCTGCCTCCCAAACTGGGCCTTCTCTCCCCCTAATCCGAAACCCAGGACGCCACAGGCAACCCCCCAGCCCCGTCCCCTTCAAGGGGAGGCCCCTGACGCCTCTTGGCCCTGGCCAGCCGCACTCCACCTGCACGCCGGCTCAGCCTCAGCGCCGCCAGCCCCACGCAGCCCCACGCTCTCCGCAGTGCAGCCCTATAAATAGCCGGGCCCGCAGCGGCGTGGGCCGGGGGAGCCGGGCAGCCCGCCCCGCACCGCGCGTCCCCCACGGGCAACCCGTGCTCAGGGGCGCTGGCGTGCGGGAGGTGAATGGGGCTCTGTCCCGGCAGGGGCGGGGGCGGCGTGGGGGCACAATGTGCCTCTGTGCCTCGGCCTGGGGGCTGGGAGCCGGGGACCCGCCCCGCCCCAGGCCGCGCCTTTCCTACCCACATCCCAGGCGCCGCCCGCGCAGTTCCGCAGTCTTGGGTGCGCGCGGAGAGGGGCTGTCCCCCACGGCGCAGGGCCGCGCTGCACCCCCAGTTCCGGCCGCCCGCTCGCGGACCCCCGCGCGACCCCACTCCGCACTGCCGCACGCCGCGCGTCCCGCGCGCACTGCGGAGCTACGTGCCTGCCTGGTGACTCCCTCGCGGAAGCTCGGCCGCTGCAGCCCAACTGCCCGGGCGGGGCGCGCGGAGGCCGCGGGAGGGCCGAGCCCAGCGCCCCGCCCGGGCCCGGCGAGGGCGGAGCGTCAGGGCGAGCGACGCCCGCGGGGCACCGGGCGCCCACGGAGGGCACGCGCACACACCTGCGGCCGGCCGCCCGGAGACGCAGCTGGGACGAGCGTGCGCGGCCTGAGGGCGCCGTGGGCAGGCCGGCCGGTCCCGCACCCCTGCGCCCCGGGGCGGGTGCGCCGGCGAGCCCCAACCCCAGCAAGGCCCCGGCTTCCCGCACAGGTTTATTGAAACGTCACAGCGGCGCGGGGGTGTGGCCGGGCCCCCCGTCCTGCTGGCCGCTGCTGACCTCTGCTGGTCAGGTGGCCAGGGGCTGGGCCCTGAGAGAGACGGGGACGAGTGGCGACGGCAGGTGATGAGGTGTGTAGGCAACGCCTGCGTGTCGTGGAAGATGACGAAGATGCTGGGCTGGCGCACGCAGTCCACCGCGCAGTCGTAGCGCAGCAGACCGTGGCCCGGGGCGCGCGGCGGCGGCGCGCGCAGGCTGGGGTGGCCCAGCTCGTAGTCCCCGGTCAGCACCCTGGCCACGAACACTGCCTTGTGGCCGTCGGCGTCGGGGGGCGAGCAGCGGTCCTGCACGGACAGGGAGGCGCGCGTGGCGAAGTACACGCCCTGGCCATGCAGCGTGCCTGCGGGCCGGGAGCGGGGGTCAGCGGCAGCGGCAGCCCCAGAGCACGCTGGTCCCCACCGGCCCACACCCGCTCAGGCCTCACCGTTGCGGCCGCAGAAGCTGCGGTTGAAGCCGTGGGCGCAGATCTCGGGCACCGCGGCCGCCGCCGTGCCATGGTACAGCACCTGCTCGGCCGGGCGCCGCTGGCAACGCTGCATCAGGCGCTGGCGCTGCAGCTCGTACTGCTGCCACAGCAGCGGGTGCCACGCGCGCTCCACCTGCGGGATCCCGAGTGCTCAGTCCGGCTGCCTGGGCCCTGCAGCAGGACCCGCACGCAGCTCAGGGAGGGCCCAATGTCTGGGAGAGCCCCCACATCCCCTGCATCAAGCTCTGTCCAGCGCTGGGCCTTGACCGCCTCCATCGGACACGTGACACTGGAGGACTTGTGCAGAGGCCTGGTCCGCTCCTGCTCCCGGCAGACACTACCTGCGATCAGATGCCAGTGTGCTGCCAGGCCTCCGCAGGCAGAGGCCGAGCTCGTGGGCAGAGGATGGCGGGCGCCAGGCCAGGCCCGGGTGGAGACAGAACCAGGGATCATCAGGCCAGCAGATACCTGCCCCAAGCTCCACCCTGGGCTTGGGAAGCTGGGGGAGACCTGACAGGATTGGGGCCAGACTGGCCACATGAGGGGACTGTGGGCAGCAGGGAGGAGAGCCAGTTAAACCCAGAGGACTGGCGCCTGCCGAAGCCTGAGCTGGCAGCTCTAGAAGCAGGGACAGAAGGACAGACGGACATGCAGAGCCCAGGTCAGGAGGATCAGATCTGCAGGAAGCTGGGACAGGTGGAGCACAAGGCAGGTGGAGCACAGGGCAGGTGGTGCACAGGAGGAGGTGGAGCACAGGGGGAGGTGGAGCACAGGGGGAGGTGGAGCACAGGGCAGGTGGAGCACAGGAGGAGGTGGAGCACAGGGCAGGTGGAGCACAGGGGGAGGTGGAGCACAGGAGGAGGTGGAGCACAGGGGGAGGTGGAGCACAGGGGGAGGTGGAGCACAGGGCAGGTGGAGCACAGGAGGAGGTGGAGCACAGGGCAGGTGGAGCACAGGAGGAGGTGGAGCACAGGAGGAGGTGGAGCACAGGGCAGGTGGAGCACAGGGGGAGGTGGAGCACAGGAGGAGGTGGAGCACAGGGGGAGGTGGAGCACAGGGGGAGGTGGAGCACAGGGCAGGTGGAGCACAGGAGGAGGTGGAGCACAGGGGAGGTGGAGCACAGGGGAGGTGGAGCACAGGGGGAGGTGGAGCACAGGGCGGGTGGAGCACAGGAGGAGGTGGAGCACAGGGCAGGTGGAGCACAGGAGGAGGTGGAGCACAGGAGGAGGTGGAGCACAGGAGGAGGTGGAGCACAGGGGGAGGTGGAGCACAGGGGGAGGTGGAGCACAGGGCGGGTGGAGCACAGGGGGAGGTGGAGCACAGGGCAGGTGGAGCACAGGAGGAGGTGGAGCACAGGGGGAGGTGGAGCACAGGGGGAGGTGGAGCACAAAGGAGGTGGAGCACAGGAGGAGGTGGAGCACAGGGCAGGTGGAGCACAGGGCGGGTGGAGCACAGGGCAGGTGGAGCACAGGAGGAGGTGGAGCACAGGGGGAGGTGGAGCACAGGAGGAGGTGGAGCACAGGGGGAGGTGGAGCACAGGGGGAGGTGGAGCACAGGGCAGGTGGAGCACAGGAGGAGGTGGAGCACAGGGCAGGTGGAGCACAGGAGGAGGTGGAGCACAGGAGGAGGTGGAGCACAGGGGGAGGTGGAGCACAGGGCGGGTGGAGCACAGGGCAGGTGGAGCACAGGAGGAGGTGGAGCACAGGAGGAGGTGGAGCACAGGGGGAGGTGGAGCACAGGAGGAGGTGGAGCACAGGAGGAGGTGGAGCACAGGGGGAGGTGGAGCACAGGGCAGGTGGAGCACAGGAGGAGGTGGAGCACAGGAGGAGGTGGAGCACAGGGGGAGGTGGAGCACAGGGGGAGGTGGAGCACAGGGCAGGTGGAGCACAGGAGGAGGTGGAGCACAGGGCAGGTGGAGCACAGGGCGGGTGGAGCACAGGGGGAGGTGGAGCACAGGGCGGGTGGAGCACAGGGCGGGTGGAGCACAGGGCAGGTGGAGCACGGGAGGAGGTGGAGCACAGGAGGAGGTGGAGCACAGGGGGAGGTGGAGCACAGGGGGAGGTGGAGCACAGGAGGAGGTGGAGCACGGGAGGAGGTGGAGCACGGGAGGAGGTGGAGCACGGGGGGAGGTGGAGCACAGGAGGAGGTGGAGCACAGGGCGGGTGGAGCACAGGGCGGGTGGAGCACAGGGCAGGTGGAGCACAGGAGGAGGTGGAGCACAGGAGGAGGTGGAGCACAGGGGGAGGTGGAGCACAGGGGGAGGTGGAGCACAGGGGGAGGTGGAGCACGGGAGGAGGTGGAGCACAGGGGGAGGTGGAGCACAGGGGGAGGTGGAGCACAGGGGGAGGTGGAGCACAGGAGGAGGTGGAGCACAGGGGGAGGTGGAGCACAGGAGGAGGTGGAGCTCAGGAGGAGGTGGAGCACAGGGGGAGGTGGAGCTCAGGAGGAGGTGGAGCACAGGAGGAGGTGGAGCACAGGAGGAGGTGGAGCACAGGAGGAGGTGGAGCACAGGGGGAGGTGGAGCACAGGGCAGGTGGAGCACAGGGGGAGGTGGAGCACGGGAGGAGGTGGAGCACGGGAGGAGGTGGAGCACGGGGGGAGGTGGAGCACAGGAGGAGGTGGAGCACAGGGCGGGTGGAGCACAGGGCAGGTGGAGCACAGGGCAGGAGGAGCACAGGGGGAGGTGGAGCACAGGGCAGGTGGAGCACAGGGGGAGGTGGAGCACAGGGCAGGTGGAGCACGGGGGGGGTGGAGCACAGGAGGAGGTGGAGCACGGGAGGAGGTGGAGCACAGGAGGAGGTGGAGCACGGGAGGAGGTGGAGCACAGGGCAGGTGGAGCACAGGGGGAGGTGGTGCACAGGAGGAGGTGGAGCACGGGAGGAGGTGGAGCACAGGGCAGGTGGAGCACAGGGGGAGGTGGAGCACAGGAGGAGGTGGAGCACGGGAGGAGGTGGAGCACAGGGGGAGGTGGAGCACAGGAGGAGGTGGAGCACAGGGCGGGTGGAGCACAGGGCGGGTGGAGCACAGGGCGGGTGGAGCACAGGAGGAGGTGGAGCACAGGAGGAGGTGGAGCACAGGGGGAGGTGGAGCACAGGGCAGGTGGAGCACAGGGGGAGGTGGAGCACAGGAGGAGGTGGAGCACAGGGGGAGGTGGAGCACAGGGGGAGGTGGAGCACAGGGGAGGTGGAGCACAGGGGGAGGTGGAGCACAGGAGGAGGTGGAGCACAGGGGGAGGTGGAGCACAGGAGGAGGTGGAGCACAGGAGGAGGTGGAGCACGGGGAGGTGAAGCACAGGGCGGGTGGAGCACCGGAAGAGGTGGAGCACAGGGGGAGGTGGAGCACAGGGCAGGTGGAGCACAGGGCAGGTGGAGCACAGGAGGAGGTGGAGCACGGGGAGGTGAAGCACAGGGCGGGTGGAGCACCGGAAGAGGTGGAGCACAGGGGGAGGTGGAGCACAGGGGGAGGTGGAGCACAGGGGGAGGTGGAGCACAGGAGGAGGTGGAGCACAGGAGGAGGTGGAGCACAGGGGGAGGTGGAGCACAGGAGGAGGTGGAGCACAGGAGGAGGTGGAGCACAGGGCGGGTGGAGCACAGGAGGAGGTGGAGCACAGGGGGAGGTGGAGCACAGGGGGAGGTCGAGCACAGGAGGAGGTGGAGCACAGGGCAGGTGGAGCACAGGAGGAGGTGGAGCACAGGGGGAGGTGGAGCACAGGGGGAGGTGGAGCACAGGGGGAGGTCGAGCACAGGAGGAGGTGGAGCACAGGGCGGGTGGAGCACAGGAGGAGGTGGAGCACAGGGGGAGGTGGAGCACAGGGGGAGGTGGAGCACAGGGCGGGTGGAGCACAGGAGGAGGTGGAGCACAGGGGGAGGTGGAGCACAGGGGGAGGTGGAGCACAGGGGGAGGTGGAGCACAGGGCGGGTGGAGCACAGGAGGAGGTGGAGCACAGGGGGAGGTGGAGCACAGGGGGAGGTGGAGCACAGGGGGAGGTGGAGCACAGGGGGAGGTGGAGTACAGGGCAGGTGGAGCACAGGGGGAGGTGGAGCACAGGGCAGGTGGAGCACAGGGGGAGGTGGAGCACAGGGCAGGTGGAGCACAGGAGGAGGTGGAGCACAGGGCAGGTGGAGTACAGGGCAGGTGGAGCACAGGGGCAGGTGGAGCACAGGGGCAGGTGGAGCACAGGGGGAGGTGGAGCACAGGGGGAGGTGGAGCACAGGAGGAGGTGGAGCACAGGGCGGTTGGAGCACAGGGCAGGTGGAGCACACAATCCTGGCACTGGTGGGCATACCAATGGGTGACCCTATGTGCCCTATGCATCGCAGCAGTGGTCTCCTGTGGCAACAGTAAAACGGAAGTCCATACCAACACACACACGTACACAGACTCGCATTTGTACAAAAGTATGAAATACCTGTTCTACTGAGACACCATGCATGCGTGTGTACACACACACACAGTCTCATCGGTACATACATGTACATACAAGCACATGTCTGTGAAATGATACAACAATCATCTGACTCTAGTGAGGAAGACTTCAACATGACAGAAACCCACAAGTACACAGACATGCACACACAGACATGCACACGCAGACATGCACACAGAGACATGCACACAGACATGCACACACAGACATGCACACAGACATGCACACACAGACATGCACACACAGACATGCACACAGACATGCACACACAGACATGCACACAGACATGCACACACAGACATGCACACAGACATGCACACAGACATGCACACACAGACATGCACACAGACATGCACACAGACATGCACACACAGACATGCACACACAGACATGCACACAGACATGCACACACAGACATGCACACAGACATGCACACAGACATGCACACAGCCATGCACACACAGACATGCACACACAGACATGCACACACAGACATGCACACACAGACATGCACGCAGACATGCACGCAGACATGCACACACAGACATGCACACACAGACATGCACACACAGACATGCACACACAGACATGCACACACAGACATGCACACACAGACATGCACACAGACATGCACACACAGACATGCACACAGACATGCACACGCAGACATGCACACACAGACATGCACACACAGACATGCACACACAGACATGCACACAGACATGCACACACAGACATGCACACACAGACATGCACAGACATGCACACACAGACATGCGCATAGACATGCACACAGACATGCACACACAGACATGCACACACAGACATGCACACGCAGACACAGACTTGCACACGTAAACACTGGCTTGCACACGCAAACACACACATGCACACGCACCCGGTCAATCCACAATTTGGCTGAAACCTCATATTCTCCTCTTGGGTTTCTTGCAATAGAATGTCAAGAAACACAGATTCACTTTAAAAAACCCAGTGTGTTGTTGTGTAGTGTTGCCCTGTTGATTTGCAAGGCAGAGGGTCAGACAGATTCTCCCTGCTCTAGTTTCCCGCCCACATTCCCAGAGGGGCCGGGGCTGGTCCAGGCCAAAGCCAGGAATTCCATCGAGATCTCCCACCTGGCAGTGACACCAAGCCCTCTTCCTCCGGTTTCCCAGACGTGTTAGCCAGGAGCTAGTTATAGCAGCCAGGACTCGAACCCGCACTCGAATGCTGTGTTGGCAGCACAAGCTTAGACCACTGTGCCACACTGTTGGCCCCAAAAGAAAAAATAACATGGCCAGCAGTGTGGCACAGCAGGTGAAGCCACTGCCTGGAGCACCAGCATCGCAGACAGGTCCTGGTTCAGCTGCTCCACCTCTGACACAACTCCCTGCGTGTGGCCTGGGCAAGCAGCAGGGGGTGGTCCCAGTCCTCGGGCCCCTACAGCCACATGGAAGACCCAGATGGAGCTCTTGGCTCCTGGCTTCAGCCTGGTCCAGCCTTGGCCATTGTGGCCATTTGGGGAGTGGAACATCAGATGAAAGATCTCTCTATAATTCTCTTTATTCTCACATAAATAAATCTAAAGCGAGGGAGAGCATTGTCTCCCGACCAGGAAAGCTGTTTGAACCTGTGCACAGCGCGTGCGGTGGAACTTGCTGCAACATGCCAACAGGCAGGGGCGTGTTGGCGAGTGCAGGACATGGGACATGAGGCCGGTGCTGGGTCAGGCTGCACAGTACAGAATCAAGCGGGAAGCTCGGGATACTGCTGAAGCCGGGATCTATGCAGGCAGGCGCCCAGGACAACAAGCCGGAGACGGCAGAAGAGGAGTCGCCGGAGCGATCTCCCTCATCAGGCAGTCGGTGGCTGAAGACAGGCAGCATGCCCCCACACCCCAGTCAGACACAGCTGCACCCGGGCACATGGCTCCTGTCAGTTACAGACACCATAAGAATGTGACTGGCCGACTGTGAGTAGGGAGAGAAGAGGTGGAGGCCTGTTGTCCTCACGATGATGACGAAAATGATGAAGATGATGGTGATGATGGTGGTGATCATGGTGATCATGGTGGTGATCATGGTGATCGTGGTGATCGTGGTGATCGTGGTGATCATGGTGATCGTGGTGGTGATCATGGTGATCATGGTGGTGATCATGGTGGTGATCATGGTGATCATGGTGATCATGGTGGTGATCATGGTGATCATGGTGGTGGTCATGGTGATCATGGTGATCGTGGTGATCGTGGTGATCATGGTGATCGTGGTGATCGTGGTGATCGTGGTGATCATGGTGATCATGGTGGTGATCATGGTGATCATGGTGGTCATGGTGGTGATCATGGTGATCATGGTGATCGTGTGGTGATCGTGGTGATCATGGTGATCATGGTGGTCATGGTGATCGTGGTGGTGATCATGGTGATCATGGTGGTGATCATGGTGATCGTGGTGATCATGGTGATCATGGTGATCGTGGTGATCGTGGTGATCATGGTGGTGGTGATCATGGTGATCATGGTGATCGTGGTGATCATGGTGATCGTGGTGGTGATCATGGTGATCATGGTGGTGATCATGGTGATCGTGGTGATCATGGTGATCGTGGTGGTGATCATGGTGATCATGGTGATCGTGGTGATCATGGTGATCGTGGTGATCGTGGTGATCGTGGTGATGATCATGGTGGTCATGGTGGTCATGGTGGTGATCATGGTGATCATGGTGATCGTGGTGATGATCATGGTGGTCATGGTGGTGATCATGGTGGTGGTGATCATGGTGGTGGTGATGGTCATGGTGATGGTCATGGTGGTGGCAGTAGTATCATGTTTTTCTGCACTCCCCTAATCTATCCACGTTTCCTTTCACCTCTCCGTGCACTCTGCATATTCCTGTGGTCCCTGGCCCTTCCCCTCCAACACCAGCTGTCCCTAGCCCCTTTTGGGAACACACATGTGCTTAGGTTGGCAAATATAGTGACAATACAAGAGGAGACAGCTGCCATTGAGCTCACCTTGTTTGAGGCCAGTCAAGGACACAGTTATGGAGTCAGTTTCACCATGGCCACATGGTGGCAGCACGACCCTGTGCTCCAGACGAGGCCCCGTGGTCCCTGGTCACTGGTCACTAGCCATAGCTGGCCTAGCATAGGCCCTTGCTCAGGCCAGTCAGACCCTAGGTCCCCCGCACCCAGAATCTGAGACAGCTCTTGGGACAGGGCTGGGGAGGCCCTCTGAGCTTCCAGCCCATTCTCCTGGGGCAGCTGCTGGCCAGCAGGGACCTTCATGGGGGACAATGACTGCCTGGACTACAAGGCACAAAGGGCACAAGGAGCCCACGAGGCCCTGGGTGGACACAGGGCAGGGCGCAGGGTGGACTCACCCGGACAATGCTGATCCTGCTGTGGGCTGCATCCAGGGTGTCACAGAAGGCCCGCACCGTGTCCTGGAACTCCGGGGTGCTCTCTGCCACGCCCTCCAGCCGACCCAGGGGCCCCTCTCTGCTGTCACTGCCCGCGGGGAGGAGGCAGTCAGGGGCAACCCTGAGGCACCAGCCTGCACAGCCAGCACCACCCACTCCTCTCCCCTTCGAGGTGCAGACTCACAGATGGGCCCCCTGACGACGGCAGGCCCGCACTCGGATGGCAAGGCTCGGCCAGCAGCACAGCCAAGTGGCGCGCTGCTCGGGCAGCCTGGGCCCCAAAGCCCCGGATAACGGCGCGCTGCTCACACAGCATCACACGCACGCCATGGCACCTCTCCAAGCGGGCACAAAGCTCTAAGGACAGCACACGGGTCCCCAGCCCCACAGTCTCCTTGTGGAGCTGGGCTTCCATGGCAGCCTCCAGTGCCTGGCCCAGTTCCTCCAGGTCCTGCTCGAAAGCTGCATGTACCACCAGCTGGGCCTCGGCCCCCAGCTTCCCGCCAGGCTCCTCTGCCTCTGGCTGCTCCAGCAGAGAAAGAGCCAGGGCCCTCTGCAGCACCGCGGCTTCCTCCTGGTCTCCCACCTGGCCTTGAGCGTCCAGCGACTGCTGCAGGGCCAGCTGTAGCTTTGCTGCCTCCTCCAGCCACCCGCGTCCTGCCGGGATCCTAGCTGGGGGCTCCTCCTGCTCTTCCTCCCCCCCGCCCCCCCCGTCTCCAGGGGCAGCCACTCCTCCCTCTCCAGGCCCTCCAGGGTGGCCAGCAGCTCCTGCACCTCTTCTGTGGACCGGGGTCAGGGGTCAGGCCCAGCCTGAATGAAAAGGCTGGGGGGGGGGCAGTGGGGCGGGCGGGGCTCTCCGGGAAGCTTACCGAGGTGCCCAGTGCTCTGTCGGTCACAGCCTGTGCCATCCAGGGACTCCAGGGCATGGGCATGGCAAGGGAGGGTCTGCAGGGCTTCCATGGGGTCTGCCCGCGGGAAGAGGAGGTTGGGGACCCCAGCCACCGAGAAAGGGGCCGAGGGGCGAGGGTGCAAGGCTTTGCCCCACCTCATCAGGGTCCATGTCCAGGGTGGCCGCGGCCAGGCGCTCTGTGCCCAGGACACACTGGAACCGAGCCTCGAAGTCCCGAAGCAGGCGCTGGCCCTCGGGGCCCAGCAGGAACCTGGCGCTGCCCGGGTGGCTGAGGCGCAGCACGATGCTGCCCACCAGGCTCTGCAGAAGCCCCTCAGCCGCCTGGCATGGGGCCAGGGCTCCGCAGAGCTGCGGGGGTGCAAGGCGAGGGGCCAGAGCAGGCTCAGGGTGTGGAGCCCCAGAGAAGGGGGCCAAGGGGAGCGGCCAGACCCACTCACCTGAAATCCAGTTACATCAGTCCCCTCCAGTGGGAACAGGGTGACATCGCCCAGGTCCCCAAGAAGGTCCTCATGGTAGAGCTGTAGGAAGCGCAGAGCCCCAGGGTCCACAGGCACCACAATCTCCACCACGTCCTCCTTCCTCTGGGGCAGCCCCCCCAGGGGCTCCACAGGGCCAGCTGGGCCTGGAGACCCCAGGGGACCCATCTTCAGGGAGGCCCCTGGTAACCCCGGGGGCTTCTCAGAGCCGTCCGCGCCAGGTTCTGTGCCCGTCAGCTGCCCGGCTGGCCCCGCAGCCTCCGGTAGAGGGGGTTCGCTGGGCCCAGGTTCCAGCACAGCCTGGCAGTGCCCTGCCCCCAGGTCCTCGGGCTCCAGGGCGTCATAGTGGGGACAAGGTTCAACTGGGAGCCCTGCAGCCAGTGGTTCCGCTGCAGCACCCGTTCAGCCACTGGGAGTGACACAGAGAGCGGGAGGCCGTCAGAGCTGTGTGGGGCCCAGAAGTACCCGCTGCTCTGCATACCCACCCTATGCACACTGCCCACCTCACACACCCTGCCCACACTGCCACCCTGCACACCCAGCACACCCCACACACCCTGCCCACCCCGCACACCCAGCGCACCCCGCACACCCAGCTCACCCCACACACCCTGCCCACCCCACACACCCAGCCCACCCCGCACACCCTGCCCACCCCGCACACCCAGTGCACCCCATACACTCTGCCCACCCCGCACACCCTGCCCACCCCGCACACCCAGCGCACCCTGCGACTGCTGGAATCTGATGACGGTACCCAGCCGCTGGCAGTTGGCGTACATCCTCAAGCGGGCCCCCAGCACTGTGCCGCTCATTCGCCAGGTACAGTTCCAGCAGCAGCTGGTCCACGGGGCCGCCAACCTCTAGCACACGGACTGCACGGGCCTGGAGCACCGGGGCCAGCAACACCGCAGCCCCATCCAGCCACAGCGTCTGGGCCTGCTTCACTGGCAAGCCGACATCTGTGGGGACGGGGGGTGCAGATCAGCGCAAGGCACAGCCCTGACCGACCAAGTGGCCAACACACCAACCAGCACGCTAGCTCCCTGCTCCACCTCTACCTGCTGCAGAAAGGGGCCTGGACAGCTGGACCAGCGCCCGGTCGGGCCGAGGACTGGCGAGGATGCGACAGGGCAGAGCCTGGAGCCCTGCGGCAGCCAGCAGGGCCTGGATGTGCTGCTCAGCGGGCAGGGGCACGGAGCCAGGAGGCAAGCCTTGGAGCATCAGGCGTGCGGGGGCACGCGGTGGGGCCGGCCACACAGTCAGCCAGGCCCCTGGGAGCTGGTGCCCTGCCTGGGCCAGGACCCTTGCGGCATCTGCGGGTGGGGGGAGAGGTCAAGGATATCAGTGTGCGGGGGGGGGGGCCCAGGGCTGTCCCCTCAGCCAGCCCCCTCACCTGTGGGGTCTCTAAAGGTCAGGATGCCCCCGCCGCCGAGCCTCTGCCAGCCCAGCACCGGCCCCCCGCCCGAGCGGCGGCGGTTCTCAAAGTAGAGTAAGAGCAGCTCATCGGACGCAGCTGGGCACAGTCCTCGCAGCTCCACAGCTGCCCCCCCCCCCGCCTCCACTTCTGCCATCATGGCCCTGGGGAGGCAGACATGCAGGGTGCAAGGGGTCTGAGGTGCCACCCCCTCCCTAGGCCTCATCGCAAGCAGTCCTACGTCCCACACTTAGACTCTCCAGCCGGTACCACAAGCTTCAGCCAGAGACCCGCAGTATGTAGGTCACACGCGGTCCTGGCCCCCTGCCGCCTGAGCCCACAGCCTGCTCCCTGGGCTTGGTCTCTCTGCCGCCTGAGCCCACAGCCTGCTCCCTGGGCTTGGACCCTCTGCGCCTGAGCCCACAGCCTGCTCCCTGGGCCCTGGCCCCCTGCTGCCTGAGCCCACAGCCTGCTCCCTGGGCCCTGGCCCCCTGCCGCCTGAGCCCACAGCCTGCTCCCTGGGCTTGGACCCTCTGCCGCCTGAGCCCACAGCCTGCTCCCCGAGCTTGGACCCTCTGCGCCTGAGCCCACAGCCTGCTCCCTGGGCCCTGGCCCCCTGCCGCCTGAGCCCACAGCCTGCTCCCCGGGCCCTGGCCCCCTGCCGCCTGAGCCCACAGCCTGCTCCCCAGGCTTGGTCCCTCTGCAGCCTCCTGCAAGCAGCACTAGGGGGCCTGACACCTCTGCCACCCAAGCCCACGACCCACACTCTGGGGCCTGGTCCCTCTGCCATCTCAAACACACAGCCTGTACTTCGGGTCCCAGCTTCTCTGCCACCCCCAGCCCCCAGCCCACACGTGGGGACCCAGGCCTGTGCTGTGTCCTGCAGGCAGCACTCGGGGTCCTGGGTCCCCTTGATTACCCCCCGTGGCAGGATACAGGCTGGTCTGGAAATCGGAAAACAAAAGTGAAACTGAACCCTAGGCTGGCTGAGGGGAGGGGCAACCCTGCAGCCCGCAGGACTGTGGCTCTGGGACTTCCTGGAGCTTCCCCCAACGCACTGGAAGCTCCTGACTCACAGGGTGGGCAGCTCCCTCCGGTCACTTTGCCTGCAAGGGTCTGAAAGGGCCCATCGTCCTCTCTAGCAGAGGGGGCAGGGGAGGGGCTGTGTCAGGTACCTTCCCAGCCCTTGACCTTCGCCCACTGCCCACTGCGCAGCCCTTCCCAGCCCTCACCCTTCGACCACTGACCACTGCGCAGCCCTTCCCAGCCCTCGCCCTTCGACCACTACCCACTGCGCAGCCCTTCCCAGCCCTTGCCCTTCGGCCACTGCCCACTGCACAGGCCCTTCCCAGCCCTTGCCCTTCGGCCACTGCCCACTGCGCAGGCCCTTCCCAGCCCTTGACCTTTGAGCACTGCCCACTGTGCAGCCCTTCCCAGCCCTTGACCTTCAGCCACTGCGCAGCCCTTCCCAGCCCTTGACCTTCAGCCACTGCGCAGGCCCTTCCCAGCCCTTGACCTTTGAGTACTGCCCACTGCGCAGTCCTTCCCAGCCCTCGCTCTTGGGCCACTGCATAGGCCCTTCCCAGCCCTCGCCCTTCAACCACTGCCCACTGCGCAGTCCTTCCCAGCCCTTGACCTTTGACCACTGCCCACTGCGCAGACCCTTCCCAGCCCTTGCCCTTCGACCACTGCGCAGGCATGAGCCAGCACACACACCCAGGGCCCAGGCCTCCAAGGGCCTGCCAACAGCCCCTCCAGTCTGAGCACCCACCTAGCCATCCTGTCTCACTGTTGTCCCGACTAACCCTAGGAGGTCACAGGCACTGTGCCCAGATGCCTCACGGCTGGGGCAGGGTGAAACACAGGGCCCTGACCCACCGAGCCTGCTGCCAGCCGGCGCCCTTTGACCTCTCACTGCCACGCTCACCCACCCCCAGGTCAAGCTCCTGGTGTCACTGACGGTAGGGGCCCTGCGAGGACATGGTGGCACAGTGGAGGGCTGGGACAGAGCTGGGAGGCAGCTGAAGGGCTTGCCCCTTGCCACCTACGTGGACCCTGCTCTGTGGGGCAGAGGAGAGCTGAGCTGGGTTTCCTGAAGTGCTTGGCAAGCACTGCCTGGGCAGCAAGAGCGCGGGCAGTGGGCAGTGGGCACGGCCGCAGCGCCAAACACCAACTGTCATCTGAGGCCGACTGCCCAGGCCGGCGGCTTTCCTTGCTGCTCGGGATCTTTAGAGGGGCTTCCTTCTTGCCGGGGTCCCCTATGCCCCCCACAAGACCCAGATGGAGCGCCTGGCTTTGCCCTGGCCAGGGAAGCACAGCAGAGGCAGACAGCTGCTGTCTGAGCTCCGCCATGGTGAACTTCCCAGCGCTCTGCGGCCTGACAGCCGGGCTGGGGAGGAGGCACCAGGGGCAAAGGCAGCGGGGCGTCCTCGGGGCCTGAGGGCGGGGGCGCACAGAAGGTCCCAGCCCCCCAGGTGGTGGGGAGGAGGGTGGCACTTGTTGGGTTAACCAGCCTCAGGCCTGCCCTGCCTGGGGCGCCAATCCGGCGGTGAGATCCCCTGACAGCGGTCAGACTCAGACGGAAGGGAAAGCGAGCACCTGGGGTAAGGCCAGCGAGGGACAGGCAGTCCCCCGCTGCAGCCTCGCCGGGCTCGGGTTCGCGGCCCGGGCCCCGCCCGGCGCGCAGGCCCCGCCCCGTCACAAGGCCCGGCTGCGTCTCCCCCGCCGCAGCGCAGGCCCAGCAGAGCCGGCCGCCGGGCTGAGCGGCTGCGGGCCTCGGCCGTCCCTGTGCGCAGCGGCCTGCGGCGCCCCGCGAGCGGTGAGTGCTCGGTCCGAGCCGGGCGGGCGCGGGGAGCGCGGGGGGCGCGGAGGGCGCGGGGGGCGCGGGGGGCGCCTGCCGGCCCGGCCTCGCAGGGCCCCGCGCCGCCCCGCAAGGCCGCCTGCGCTCCGGCCGGGGGACGGCCGTGGGGGCGGGGAGCCGCCGGGGCCTGCGCTGCGCCAGGACGCACGGCCCGAGCGCCCCCCGCGCGCGACCCGAACGCCCCCCGCACGCACCCGAGCGCCCCCGGCCCCGCGCGCCCTCCGCGCCCCCGGCCCCCGCGCGCCCCCGGCCCCCGCGCGCGCCCTCCGCGCCCCCCACGCGCGCCCTCCGCGCCCCCCACGCGCCCTCCGCGCCCCCACGCGCGCCCCCGGCCGCTGTCCCCACCCGCCTCGCCCCGGGCCTGTTCTGTTCCGCCCTCGCCCTCTGAACGGCTCCCTCCCGCACACCCCCGCACCCGCTCTTCCGGGTCCCCCGCTGGCACACACCCCGCCCCACCAGGCCGGACAGGGCCAGCGGGAGGGCCAGGGCCGCGGTTGGTCACAGATGGTGGAGGGATTTCCTGGGATGGAAATACCCCCTAGTCCTGCTTACGGCCCTTAAAGCTGCTTACGGGGCGGCTGCCAGGGGGAGGGGAGGGCCTTGGGACACCCCCACACGGCCCCAGACCGCCCCGACCCGCCGGCCGGGTGCAGCCCTGGGTGCCCCCCGCCCTGGAGCAGCCCCTGCGGAGGCAGCCAAGCCCCTGCGGCTTCTCCTGGCACCCCGGGGGGCCCCCTGCCTCCCCGTAACCTGGCCTCTCCTCTAGGGGCCGACCGCAGGACCCGAGGCCATGTCCCACGAGAAGAGTTTCCTGGTGGCGGGGGACAGCTACCCTCCGCACAACCCCGGATACCCCGGGGGGCCCCAGGCCCCCATGCCTCCTTATGCTCAGCCTGCCTACCCCGGGGCCCCCTACCCACAAGCCGCTTTCCAGCCCTCCCCCTATGGCCAGCCTGGGTATCCCCACGGCCCAGGCCCTAGCCCCTACCCTCCCGGGGGCTACCCCCAGGGCCCCTATCCTCCCGGGGGCTACCCGCAGGGGCCCTACCCTCCAGGCGGCTACCCGCAGGGGCCCTACCCACAGAGCCCCTTCCCCCCTAACCCTTACGGACAGCCGCAGGCCTTCCAGGGACAGGATCTCGACTGTGAGTAGGGGCGGGGAGGGGGCAGGGCAGGTGGCTGAGATTGGCACCGACCCTCTGCTCCCTGGGCCCCCAGCACCCCAGCATGGAAACTACCAGGAGGAGGGACCCCCATCCTACTATGACAACCAGGACTTCCCAGCGGCCAACTGGGACGACAAGAGCATCCGACAGGCATTCATCCGCAAGGTGCGGGGGACCAGGAAGGGTGCCGCCCCCACCCTGCCTGGTGGGCTCTGGGGTGCGCGCTCCCCGGTGGGCGGGCTCCCAGGCGGGCTCTGATGTGGGGGCTCCCAGGTGGGTGGGCTCTGATGTGGGGGCTCCCAGGCGGGCTCTGATGTGGGGGCTCCCAGGTGGGTGGGCTCCCCAGTGGGCGGGCTCCCAGTGGGCGGGCTCCCAGGCGGGCTCTGATGTGGGGGCTCCCAGGTGGGTGGGCTCCCCAGTGGGCGGGCTCCCAGTGGGGGGGCTCCCCAGTGGGCTCTGATGTGGGGGTTCCCAGGTGGGCAGACTCCCAGGCGGGCAGACTCCCAGGCGGACGGGCTCTGAGGCACTGGCTCCCCAGGTGTTCCTGGTGCTGACCCTGCAGCTGTCGGTGACACTGTCCACGGTGGCCGTGTTCACCTTTGTGAGCGACGTGAAGGGCTTCGTCCGTGAGAACGTCTGGACCTACTATGTGTCCTATGCGGTCTTCTTCATCTCCCTCATCGTCCTCAGCTGTTGTGGGGACTTCCGCAGGAAGCACCCCTGGAACCTCGTGGCCCTGGTAAACCCCCAGACGTGAGCTCCGGGCCCTGCTGCGGGCGGGGCCGAGCGCGACCCCTCCCTCTGCCCGCAGTCCATCCTGACTGTGGGACCGTGGGCCTGTCCCACGTGCTGTCCTGGCCGCCACGCCCCCAGCTGAGCGCGACCCCTCCCTCTGCCCCCAGTCCATCCTGACCGTCAGCCTGTCCTACATGGTGGGCATGATTGCCAGCTTCTACGACACCGAGGCCGTCATCATGGCCGTGGGCATCACCACTGCCGTGTGCTTCACCGTGGTCATCTTCTCCTTACAGGTGAGGGGTGCCCCAGGCAGGGGTGGCTGGGGTCCCAGGGTCCCCAGCCCTGCTCAGCCACCCGGGGCAGCGGTCCCCAGGTCCCTGGCCCTGCTCAGCCTCCCGGGGCAGCGGTCCCAGGGTCCACAGGTCCCTGCTCAGCCGCCCGGGGCAGCGGTCCCCAGGTCCCCGGCCCTGCTCAGCCGCCCGGGGCAGCGGTCCCCAGGTCCCCGGCCCTGCTCAGCCGCCCGGGGCAGCGGTCCCCAGGTCCCCGGCCCTGCTCAGCCGCCCGGGGCAGCGGTCCCCAGGTCCCCGGCCCTGCTCAGCCGCCCGGGGCAGCGGTCCCCAGGTCCCCGGCCCTGCTCAGCCGCCCGGGGCAGTGGTCCCCAGGTCCCTGCTCAGCCGCCCGGGGCAGCGGTCCCCAGGTCCCCGGCCCTGCTCAGCCGCCCGGGGCAGCGGTCCCCAGGTCCCTGGCCCTGCTCAGCCGCCCGGGGCAGCGGTCCCCAGGTCCCTGGCCCTGCTCAGCCGCCCCGGGCAGCGGTCCCCAGGTCCCCGGCCCTGCTCAGCCGCCCGGGGCAGCGGTCCCAGGGTCCACAGGTCCCTGCTCAGCCGCCCGGGGCAGCGGTCCCCAGGTCCCGGCCCTGCTCAGCCGCCCGGGGCAGCGGTCCCCAGGTCCCTGGCCCTGCTCAGCCGCCCGGGGCAGCGGTCCCCAGGTCCCTGCTCAGCCGCCCCTCTCCCGCAGACCCGCTATGATTTCACCTCGTGCATGGGTGTGCTGCTGGTGAGCATGGTGGTGCTGTTCATCTTCGCCATCCTTTGCATCTTCATCCGTAACCGCATCTTGGAGATCGTGTACGCCTCGCTGGGCGCCCTGCTCTTCACCTGCGTGAGTGGGGCCGGGGCGGGGGCCGGAGGCATGCGCAGTGGGGCCCCGGGGTGGCGGCGGCAGCCCCCTGAGCCGGACCCCCGCTGTGGCCCAGTTCCTGGCAGTGGACACCCAGCTGCTGCTGGGGAACAAGCAGCTGTCGCTGAGCCCGGAGGAGTACGTGTTTGCGGCCCTGAACCTCTACACGGACATCATCAACATCTTCCTCTACATCCTGACCATCATCGGCCGTGCCAAGGAGTAGCCCGAGGGGCCGGCTCCCCGGGCCCCCTCGTACGTACACTGCAGATGCTCCGTCTGGACGGGCTGTCGTCACTGCCTGCCCCTTCCTTCCCCTCCCCGTCCGAGCCACTTCCTGTCTACTTGTTGCATGAATCCTTTTGGGCAGCCCACTCCAGGGCCTGGGGGGCGAGGGGTCGAGCCACGAGATGAGGGTGCACGTCTCCCCTCCTTGCCCCAGCCCCCCTGGCCTGGCCTAGCGTACCCCCGCCCCGCCTTGTGCGCGCTGGGGGCGACTCTGACACTCCTGGGCCCTGAGGGCAGGAGACGGCATGTTTCGGGGGCAACAGAGCCATCCCCCCAACCTGCTGTCACTCAAACCCCAATAAATGGACCTTGCGCTGTCTGCCTTCCCACTCCGTGAGGGACACTGTCTGCCCTGGCTGCTGCCTCAGCTTCTGTTCCCCTTGGTGTCATGCGGCCCCCCTCCCGGGTGTGTGCTGGGATCCCTGGGCAGGGGATGGATCCGCAGCAGCCTGAGGTTGCCAGCTACACATGGTGTCCAGCCCACACTGGAGTCGGCAGGGCTGTGTGCGCCACTTGCCCCTTCTGGACACAACCCGGTGTGACAGCGGGTCTGTGAGCTGCTTGCCTCTTGTCTGGGCCTGAGGACAGCAGCAGAGTCTCTGGCCCCAGCCCAGGCCTCCCGGGGTCTCCTGGCTGCTGTCCAGTCCATCCTGGGGGGCGGCTGGGCCGGGGCTCTCCACCTCTCCATGAGTCCTGCAAGAACACTATAGACAAGCGCCCGTCGGAAGCCTGACTCAGGAGGGTCAGCCGGCCGGCAGCTCTGTGATGCCACCCCCTGCCGTGGACGCTGGCCGGCCAGCTCTGTGCCCTCCCCTGGTGGCCTGCCTGCCTGGGCCTAGCGTATGGCCCTCCGTGGCCCCTGTCCCCACAACTCCATCCCTCTCGGCCTGGAAACTCTGAGGCTCCTATGGCTGCCTGTCGGTCCGCACAGGGAGGGCCACGTCCAGGGCTGTCATCCGCACAGGGAGGGCCACGTCCAGGGCTGTCATCCGCACAGGGAGGGCCATGTCCAGGGCTGTCATCCGCACAGGGAGGGCCATGTCCAGGGCTGTCATCCGCACAGGGAGGGCCATGTCCAGGGCTGTCATCCGCACGGGGAGGCCCCCACACCCAGGGACTGTAGGACCAGGTTAGTCCTCCCAGGACCTGCTCCTGCCTGGCTCCTCAGGCCAGAGCACAGCTGCCTGCCCTCCTGCCCTGGCCTCTGCCTCGCAGCGCACCTCCAGCCCTCAACTAGGGCTGCGTTTCTGAGTCATCTGTCACAAGACCCACGGAAGCCATGGCCAGGTGCCTTCAGGATGAAGTCCTGGCACTCGGGCTCAGCCCGTTGCCCGCTGGCCCCTCCAGCAGCCTTGCTACCTCGGCCCGATCCTGACCTCACACAGCATGAGCCTCCCAAGGCGACCGCAGCCCTCCAGGGACAGGCTGCAGGCTCCAGACTGTCCCATGCCTGTCCTGTGTTTGTGCTGGTAGGTGCTGTAAACAGGCCAACAGGTGAGCCAGGAGCCCACCAGAACTGGGACACAATGTGGACAGTCAGGACCCCGCCGAGGCAGAAGAGCAGCCCAGGGGTACCCGCCCCAGGGACTGCTGTGAACAGAGCCTGCTGGAAGGGACACAGTTGACTGAGAGGGAGGTATTAGGGGCTCAAGTGCTGGCCGAGAAGCCAGGCAAAGGCCTCAAGACCCAACAGCCAGTGTGGAGGCGGGGGCCGCACCGGACGTGGGGTGCGTTCAGATGAGTAGCCGCAGCAGGGTCAGCAGAGCGTCCGGCAGCTGGCAGGGAGTGGGGCCGGGGTGTCCGACAAAGTGGGTGATGCTGGTAGCTGTGAGGCCACTTCGCAAGAAGCAGCAGGTCCTATCCGTGAGGCCTTGTGGCTGGGTGCAGGCCTGGCACTTCAGATAGTGGCTGCGCGATACCAGGAGCTGGCCTGGCACCCCCAGATAGCGGGCCCGCTGTTCTGGCACTGAAGCACCCAAGGTGAGATGCTCGGAGGGTCCCAGGCGGAAGCAGCCCACCCCACCCCCACACGGCCCCCTGAGGTCGTGTCGGCACACGGGCTCTGCCCCGGCCCTGGACAGGCCCACACAGCTCATCCTGGCCACCTGCCCCCATCTGGACATTCACTCTGCAGCCGGACAGCACCCCGGGATAGGGCCCCCACCGTGTTCCCTGGCACCTGGCTGTCCACCCACAGGATATCCTGGCAGCTCCCAAGGGGCAGCAGCGACATAATTACCCCGGGGGGAAAGCAAACTGATTTCCGACATTGATTCCCAGAGGCCACGCTTGAAGCGGCTCCTGTGAGGGAGGCTGAATGACACAGCCTCTGAAGGGAGATACACTTCTCTAGAACATTCTAGTACATTCTTCCTGGACCTAGGCTCGCAGGGTCCCTGTCCACTGCCTAGGGCTCGCCAGGATGGCAAAGACTTTCAGAACAGGGACCCCGGCTCTCTGCCTGGGCCTGGGCACAACGCAGGCTGGCACTCGAAATGCCCACATCCTGAACGGCTTCACTCCGTGTAGCCCAGCTTCCTACTAAAGCCTTCTAGGAGGCTGTGGATAGCGGTGCAGGTGCGGGGCTCTGCACGCAGCGGGGAGACCCAGGAGGACTGTCGGGCTCCTGGCCTCGTCCTGCTGTTGCAGCCGACTGGGGCATGGACCAGCAAGATCGCTGTTTAAATAAACACGGAAAAACAGGCGATGGAGTGGACGCACATGGCACACGGCGGGGCCGCAGAGCCGAGTGCCCGGGAGCGCGCAGGCCGCCCACACCTGGGGTCCCAGGTCCTGCACACCACCCACACCTGCATCTCCGTTTGCTCCAACCCCCAGTCTGTGCTGAACCCTGCCGAGGACTCAGACCATGCCACGGCCCTGCCCCAGCATGCAATTGGGCAGTCGCCTGGGCCCGGCCCCGTGACCCGAGGAGCCTGCCCCTGGTGCCAATGTCTGTAACATAGATGAGATGCCTACAGACGCTAACGCACACAGCCGAGCAGGAACGCAGGAGGTGGGGTCAGAGAGACCCTTCCACACGAGGGACCAGCAGACCCCTACGTGACGGGCGATACAGAGAGGAGAGACAGAGAAAAAGATCTTCCGTCCGATGATTCACTCCCCAAGTGAGCGCAATGGCCGGTGCTGTGCCAATTCGAAGCCAGGAGCCTCTTCCGGGTCTCCCACGCAGGTGCAGGGTCCCAAAGCTTTGGGCAGTCCTCGACTGCTTTCCCGGGCCACAGGCAGGGAGCTGGATGGGAAGCGGGGCCACCGGGATTAGAACCGGCGCCCATATGGGATCCCGGGCGTGCAAGGCGAGGACTTAACCACTGCGCCACTGCGCCAGGCGATGAAATACTTCTTAAAGAAATACTTCTTAAAAATGGTTCCTTTCTGGCTCATGAGTTCCTAGGTACTGTTTTCTCTCTTTCAAGATCATTGATTTGAAAGGCAGATAGAGGGAGAGGCCCGGATCACAGGAGACCTTCGTGCTCCCCCTCAGACGGCCACAGCAGCCAGAGCTGCAGCAGGCTGAAGTCTGGAGCCTCTTCCCGGGGCCCCACACACTTGGCCATGTCCGCTGCTTTCCAGGCGCGTTAGCAGGGGGCCGGACTAGAAGTGGAGCAGCCAGATTGAACGGATGCCCGTGTGGGATGCCAGTGCCACCGGCAGAGGCTCCGCATTCTAAAGCACAGGCGATTACAGGCGGAAGTGGGGAACAGCGGACACCGATACGGAGAAATTACCCAGAGAACAGCGTCTATGCAACAGCACCAGTGAGCTTGCTCTTGGAGAAGGCGGGGGCTGGAGCCGCCGTGCGGGGCAGGGGGTTCCACAGCCCCTTCCGGGCAGCCGCCTCTGGCTCCTAGCTTCCTGCAATAGTGCCTCTGGGGGTGGGAGAGCTGCAAGGCCAACAGAAGACACACGCGTGGAACCCCACGAGACGAGAGAAGGAAGGGGAGCCGGAAAACCAGCCACGACTGTCAGGACATCAGCCTTCATCTACACAACACCCACAAAGGAAGGCTTGGCTGCCCATTTCAGGGACCCCGTCAGGCTGAACTGCACCCCGTCACAGCTGAGCTGCACCCCACATCACAGCTGAGCTGCACCCCACATCACAGCTGAGCTGCACCCCCATCACAGCTGAGCGGCACCCGCACATCACAGCTAAGCTGACCCCCACATCACAGCTGAGCTGCACCCCTGTCACAGCTGAACTGCACCCCACATCACAGCTGAGCTGACCCCACATCACAGCTGAGCTGCACCCCCGTCACAGCTGAGCTGCAGCCCCCCGTCACAGCTGAACTGCACCCCCACATCACAGCTGAGCTGCACCCCCACATCACAGCTGAGCTGCAGCCCCGTCACAGCTGAGCTGCAGCCCCCCGTCACAGCTGAACTGCACCCCCACATCACAGCTGAGCTGCACCCCACATCACAGCTGAGCTGCACCCCTGTCACAGCTGAGCTGCAGCCCCCCAGCCCTGGCATGTGATTTATTGTGGTGAGCTCAAGCTGGAGGAGGCACCTGTGGGGCTGCTGGCACGACACTGTCCCATGGCACACCTGAGGAAGTGGCCATTGTCCAGGGCCTGGCACGGTGACAGGCCTGGAGTCCCTGGCCCTGGGACCTCCTGCCTTCCGTGGCTTTGGTTCTGCAGGCTGGGAACCACTCTGTCCCCCGCAGATTGCTGACAGCGAAGTGTAACAGACTCCTCCTGGGCAGGACAGTACAGGGCGGGGCCGGGGCCAGGGACCCAGCACACACCCACGCACAACCTGGCCACATGCAGACGGCTGGCTGCCATGCAGCTCCCTGCTTGTCATGGAAAGCAGTCGAGGACGGCCCACATGCTTGGGACCCTGCACCTGCGTGGAAGACCTGGAAGAGCTCCCAGCACCTGGCTTGGGACCAACCCAGCAGGTAGAAGAGCTTCTGTCTGCCCGCTCTGTAACTCCCTGCAGCACACAGCACACTCCCTGTGGAAGCCTTTATCCCCGAGGCTGGGAGCAGGCTCAGGGTGCCTCCTGCGATGCCTGCTACTCCACGTTGCAGAGACTGCCCCGTGCAACGAGCAAGAACACGAAATGGCATGAAGATTAGGCATAACTCGGCAGAAGAGAAAAGTCCACGTGATGCGCAGGTACGGAGATTTACGAAGACCCCGAGCCCGGGCCGGCTGTGTGCGGGAGGGGAGCTGGACCTACAGTCAGGCCCGTCGCCTGGAGCAGGTGCGGGACAATGGAAAACCTTCAGACTCCAGGGGAGCTGGGGGCCCGAGACTCCTGCCTCCTGGCCTTGCGAAGGCACCAGCCTCCGGCCCAGCTCTGGGACGCCCGGGCCGG